AGCTTTAACCAAATTCATTTCTTGTTTTGGCATTTCCTAAAACTATTCAAAGTGATCAAGGTACTAACTTCACTGCCAAAGCATTTAGGGAAGTATTAACTAGGTTAGGGATAATCCACAACTTATCCACTGCCTATCATCCTCAGTCCCAAGGTGCCTTGGAAAAGATTCATGACATTAAAAACAATGATGAGAACTTTTTGCATGCACTTTCCTACAGACTGGGATGAATCACTACCTTTGTTGCTGTTCTCAGTATGAGAGACGGTGCAAGAGTTACAGGTATGGTCCATTTGAGCTGATCTTTGGGCACAATGTACGGAGGTCCTCTTCGGGTGCTCAAGAAGGTATGGTTGGAGAAGACGTTAGTCAACACTCTACAACCCGTCTTCAAGGTTGCAGGTGGCACATCAGTTAGCCAAGGCTAACCTAAAGACAGCTCAAAGTAAGATGAAACAGAGGTATGACAGAAGTTCACAATTCCGCTCCTTCCATCCAGGAGACAAGGTGTTGGTGCAGGAACCTATACCTGGCTACACCTTGAAAGCTAGATTTACGGGACCTATGCAGATTGTAAGTAGATTATCTGATGTAAATTATGTGGTAGCTCCCATTGATAAGACCTCAAAAACTAAAACTTACCACATTAATCAATTAAAGTCTTTTCATACACCAGATAAAGTCCCAGTAATGACTCTGTCCTCTACCTCTGAGGACGACTCTGACTCTTTGCACTCTATCTCTGAAATTAATATTAAACTTTCAAATTCTGTCTTCCTCAAGGATCCTAGCCCTTTAATGGAGGGATTATCTGAAACGCAAGCAACAAATTTAACGGAGCTTCTACAGTCATATCCTAATATTTTTTTGGATGTGCCGAAAAAATGTACGTTAGCTTATCATGATGTAGATGTGGGAAACTCTAAACCAATTAAACTCTCCCCCTACAGAGCTAATCCTGAAAAGCAAAGGCTACTTCAGCAGGAAGTAGAATTTTTGTTAAAGCATGGTTTAGTGGAGGAGTCATCTAGTCCATGGGCTTCACCGTGCATCCTTGTGAAGAAGGCTGATGGAGGGTTTCGTATGTGTACAGACTACCGTAAGGTGAACGAGGTCACAATTACAGATGCTTACCCTCTTCCTCGTCTGGATGACGTAATTGACTTTGTAGGTAAGGCTACTTTTGTGTCCAAGTTAGATCTCCTTAAAGGCTACTATCAGGTACCTTTGACGGATAAGGCGAAGGAAATCTCTGCCTTCGTAATTCCAGGAGGTCATTATCAATACACAGTTACCCCCTTCGGAATGAAAAATTCCCCCTCTTCATTCCAGAAACTTATCCATCAGGCTATTAAAGGACTTGAAGGTACGGCAGCATACCTAGATGATATTGTTGTGGTGTCTGATACTTGGAATCAACACCAACTTAGACTTAAGGCTCTTTTTGAGACCTTTAAGAGTTCCCATTTAACAGTTAATTTATCTAAATCTTCCTTTGGCCAGGCCACTATCACTTTTCTAGGCCATGAAGTAGGTAGTGGTAAGTTGCACCTAAACTTGCTAAAATTTTTGCTATTAAAGATTATCCAGTTCCTCATGATAGGAAATCTCTTCAATGTTTCCTAGGCATGATAGGATTTTACAGAAGATTCTGTAAGAATTTCTCAGATATTGTAGCCCCTCTTACCTCTCTTACCAGTCATAAAGTTCCCTTTAATTGGACCTCAGACTGTAACACTGCTTTTAATAAAGCAAAAAGAATATTGTGTACTGCACCCATTCTCTTGTCTCCAGACTTCTCCAAACCTTTTTCATTACAGGTTGATGCTTGTGAGTCTGGGGTTGGGGCAGTACTATTACAAATCGAGAATGAGGAGTTGCAGCCTGTAGCATACTTTTCAGCCAAGTTCCAGCCACATCAGAGGGCTTACTCTACCATCGAAAAAGAAGCCCTCGCGCTGGTACTGGCTTTGGAGCATTTCGATGTTTATGTGGGCCAGACACTCACTATCCTCATAAAAACTCTTTACAGCATTTAGTAACTTACCACCTATTCCATATACTTGCAACATCTGCCACACTGCTCCCCAATCCACTCTATCATATGCCTTTTCTAAATCCATAAATGCAATAAAAACTTCCCTACCTTTATCTGAATAGTGTTCACATATATGCCTTAATGTAAACACTTGATCTACACATCCCCTACCCACTCTGAAACCTCCTTGCTCATCCACAATCCTCCATTCTGTCTTACCTCTAATTCTTTCAATTATAACCCTAGCATACACTTTTCCTGGTATACTCAGTAAACTTATTCCTCTATAATTTTTACAATCTCTTTTGTCCCCCTTCCTTTATATAAAGGGACTATACATGCTCGCTGCCAATCCTAGGTACCCTTTACCCTCTTTCATAATTTATTAAACAAAATACCAACACTCCACTACTTATCTCCCACCTGCTTTTAACATTTGTCATGATCCATCAGTTTCAGCTGCTTACCCCCTTTCATTCTATGTACATGCTCACGCACCTCCCCACTCACATCATATGTACTAATATGAATAATTTTTTTTTTTTCAACAAGTCGGCCGTCTCCCACCGAGGCAGGGTGACCCAAAGAGAATGTTAGGTAAGACACATATGCAACAGTTAGGTATCTTTATTTCGAAACGTTTCGCCTACACAGTAGGCTTCTTCAGTCGAGTACAGAAAAGTTGATAGAAGCAGAAGATACTTGAAGACGATGTAATCAGTCCATCACCCTTAAAGTTTTGAGGTGGTCAGTCCCTCAGTCTGGAGAAGAGCATTGTTCCGTTGTGCTTCTATCAACTTTTCTGTACTCGACTGAAGAAGCCTACTGTGTAGGCGAAACGTTTCGAAATAAAGATACCTAACTGTTGCATATGTGTCTTACCTAACAATGTCGGTATTTTATACCATTTTAATGTTGACCCAAAGAGAAAGAAAATCCCCAAAAAGAAAATACTTTCATCATCATTCAACACTTTCACCTCACTCACACATAATCACTGTTTTGCAGAGGTGCCCAGAATACAACAATTTAGAAGTTTTTTTTTTTTTTTTTTTTCAACAAGTCGGTCGTCTCCCACCGAGGCAGGGTGACCCAAAAAAGAAAGAAAATTTAGAAGTATATACGTATAAAAATACACAATATATCTCTCCAAACTGCCAGTATCCCAAACCCCTCCTTTAGAGTGCAGGCATTGTACTTCCCATTTCCAGGACTCAAGTCCGGTTATATAAAATAAACGGTTTCCCTGAATCCCTTCACTAAATATTACCTTGCTCACACTCCAGCAGATCGTCAGGTCCTAAATACCATTTGTCTCCATTCACTCCTATCTAACACGCTCACGCACGCTTGCTGGAAGTCCAAACCCCTCGCCCACAACACCTCCTTTACCCCCTCCCTCCAACCTTTTCGAGAACGACCCCTACCCCGCCCTCCTTCCCCTACAGATTTACACGCTCTCCATATAATAATCGTGTCCACTCATTACTTACCTTAAAATATCTGTAGTCTTAATGTAGAGTGAGAGGCGAGTAGACAAGATTAAATGAATAAACGAATGAGAGTGTAGAAGGTTGGCGAGTTATGTAAACAAACGTTGTTGCTGTTGTTGCCATCCCGGACACGAATGATTTCTGTTCACTCTGTCAAGCCGACCAGAAAAACATCTCATATTTGTTAATTTATATGTTTATATGTTATGTAGCATGTTTATTATATAATTTTGAAAAAGAAATCATAGATGGATTAAGCAAAATGTCTATATCAACGTTTTATACACATTTAATGCGCCTCAGTGATTATTATTGTGTTATCATTATTAATATGGCATCTTCAAGACCAATTACAGTCTTAATGAGTGGCTCTGAGACAGACAAGCAGACAGAAAGACAGACACAGGTAGACAGAAAGAGAGACACAGGTAGACAGACACACACAGGTAGACAGACATACAGGTAGACAGAAAGACAAACACAGGTAGACAGAAAGACAGACACACAGGTAGACAGAGAGACACACAGGTAGACAAAGACAGACACACAGGTAGACAAAGATAGACACACAGGTAGACAGAAAGACAAACACACAGGTAGACAAAGACACAGGTAGATAGAAAGACACACACAGGTAGACAGACAAACAGACACACAGAGATACACAGATATACAGGCAGACAGATACAGACAGATTTATGTGCAACAGTGAAAACAAATAGAGGGTTCGAGAGTAAGAGCCTTTCTTGCCACACTCTCCAGTGCAAGATTCAGACTTCATCTTAGGGGCCATGGTGAAATTTACTGTCCAGTTAGTACAGTTAATACAGTATGATGCTGCTGATAGGGCAGGGTTACTCAAACTGATGCTGCCTGCATGACACATTGCCACCACGAGTATTGTCAAATATTGTGCATCAGCCGGCCCAGCTCAGCTGCCAGATGCACGGTCGTATGTCGAGTGGACGTACGTCGAGCAGGTCGTAAGTCGGATGGTAGGTGTATATACATTTGGACCATTTACGGGTTAAAATACCCCTGTAAATCAGGGGTTCCAAAGTGAAGAGCTGAAATTTACAAGTCTTGAGGTGAGGGCTGTCAGGATTCCCATCTTTTTCATATTGGAAGGTGACTGAGATAACAAGAAATGATGAGTGTGGCAGCATATCTGGATGAGCAGATGCTGAAGCCACTAGATTTTCAAGTGCGGTGACCTCGGAAATTTGAAATTACGCTAGCCGAAGCTAGTGTCAGATTAGTGACTGCCAGATCAGTGATGGCCGACTTGTACTATAAAGGCCTTTCTATATGCTATTCAATTCTGGACGTACATTTTCTATCATTTTTATGAAAAATTGCACTACACAGATGAGCTATTAAGAGCTGATTGTACTGTCAACATTTAAAGGAATTCTTACCAAACATACAGTGATGAAGAGCTCATTGCTAACAGAGCAGTGATAACTTACAGTAATGAAGAGCTCACTGCAGATAGGGCACTGGAATTCATTTTCAACAACATCAGAGACTGATTCTACCACTTCTTTCCTTGCGTGCTCTGAAGCTACAGCTGTTGACGCAAGCTCTTGTTCTAGGGACATCTTCTGTGCCTCCAGTGTTTGTAAAGCTTCATGTAATGAGACCAACTGAAAAAAAAAAATTAGTTAACTAACAACTGTGATGCATTTCCTCTAGGTAACTAATAACTGCATGATACAAGCTCCTTCCATGGAAAGGACACAAGCTCCTCCCATGGAAAGGACACAAGCTCCTCCTTTCATGAGGACACATGCCCCTTCCGTGGAAAGGGCACATGCTCCTCCTTACATGGGAAGGATACAAGCTCCTCCTTCCATGGGAAGGATACAAGCTCCTTCTTCCATGGGAAGGATACAAGCTCCTCCTTCCATGGGAAGGATACAAGCTCCTTCTTCCATGGGAAGGATACAAGCTCCTTCTTCCATGGGAAGGATACAAGCTCCTTCTTCCATGGGAAGGATACAAGCCCCCCCACCTTCCATAGGAAGGACACATGCTCCTTCTTCCATGAGAGGAGCATGTTGTTATTCTACAATGAGTTACATGAAACAAAAACAATTTTCACCTCTTCGTGGTCCTGTGCTTGAGTACGTTGCAACTGTTGTTCTAGTTTTCTCTTGTCTTCAAGTACTTGTTGCAAATCTTTCATAGCCTTCTCATGCACTAAGGCTGTAGACTTCTTCACTTCTTCCGTCACTCTTTCTTCCATTCCACTTTCCAATGTTGACTGGTAAAATTAAAAGATTATTTAAAAGTCAAAAAATGAGTTAACCCAGTGCATGTTAAATCACACAGCCAATATACCAGTGAAATTATAAAAAAAAAAAAAATCAGTGTAGTATGAGATGTCAATTGCAGCAAATCTTCATTAACACAACTTTGATCTACATATTTCCAAGACAGGTGAACCATAAAATTGATGAGGAGGAAAAAGGTAAGTGGTACACTGAGGCTTTGTGGAGAAAAAGAATGTTATCCATGGAGAAAAAAGGAGGAATGTATGAGAGTATAGTGGTAACAATGATCTTATATGGGTGTAAAGCATGGGTTGTGAATGTTGCAACAAGGAGGAGGCTGGAGGCAGTGGATATGTTGTGTCTTAAGGCAATGTGTGGAGTAAATATTATGGAGAAAATTCAGAGCTTGGAGACTAGGTGGTGTGAGGTTACTAAAAGTATTATCCAGGGGAGTTAGGAAGGGCTGCTGAGGTGGTTAGGAATCTGGAGAGGATGGCACAAAACAGGATGACTTGGAGGGTGTATAAATCTGTATTGGATGGAAGACTGGGGTCACCTTACAAAAGGTTGGAAAAAGTGGGTAAACTAAGGTTTTGTGTGAGAGAAGCTTGGACATCCAGCAGGAATGTGTGAGCATGTTAGGAGTGAGTGAGTCAGATAGGAGTGGAGGCAAATGTTTTTGGGACTTGATGAGCAGCTTGAGTGTGAGCATGGTAATATTTGTAAAGGGATTCAGGGAAACCAGTTAGCCAGAATTGAGACCAGGAGGTGAGAAGTACAGTGCCTACACTTTGAAGGAGTGGGGATACTTGCAGTCTGGAGGGACATTTGAACTGTAGTATCGGCATGTCTTTGCCAAGACGGTGATAGAGTGAGTGACGGTGAAAGCTTGTCTTTTTTTGGGGGGAGGAAGGGTCATCCTACCGTGGTGAGAGATGGCCAGTGTAAAAAAAAAAAAAATCTGCTTTAGTCTTCTAACATTATGTACAAGAAATACTTATACTACAATTGTTTCAAAGAGTAATACTGCTCAAATCTCAGGCACAAGCCACATCATCTGACTATATTGGGTTATCCTCGGTTCATTTCTTATGTTATATTTTTAAGTTCAAGGGAATATCCTAGGTTATATCAACAATGTAATTTCAATTTATCATAGCATCTTTGTGCCTTCAAGATGACTGTAAAACATTATTTACAAGGAAATATTATGATTCTACAATTGTTTCAAGTTGTAATACTTATCAAAACATGGAAATAAGTCACACAGTTTGACTATGCTGGATTATCCAAAGTTAAATCTACACAGTGTGCTTTTTTGCCAAATTCTGCTATTATCATGAAAATGTAATGAATTTGGAAGGAATAAAGCATCTTTCAGCCAATTTCACACCCTGTTTACTGGTAGAGAAGCTAGTGGTGGAACATCTGGTCCCGGTTACACTATAAGACTAGATCTGGTCTTCGAGTTTTTTTCATTCATGTGTTGAGGCCAAAAATATTGGGGGTGTCATATTTGAAGGCATGTCTATTTATCAATTTTTTGTGCAATATACAATCATATCTATTTATCAACTTTTTGTGCAATATACAAATCATATCTACCAATTTTTTGTGCAACTCTTTTTCCTTCTCTTTAAGTTCAAAATCAAGAAGGACATTTGTGATCTCTTTTTCAGCTAGTTCTTTCTTGACATTTTCAAGTTCTTCCTCAAGTTTAAGTCTTTCCTGAACTAATTCTTCTTTTAGTTTCTCTTTCTCTTGTTCTGCTTGTTCCTGATCTGCCTCCATCACACGGATAGCAGACTCTTTAGCTTCTATCTGTAAAACAGAAAAAAAGAACCAGTTATGGCACGTAAGCACAGTCTGACTTTCATTGTGCCAGAAGTATCAAGTTATTTCATAGCATTTCTACACAGCTACCTTGCAACATAATTTTTTTTTTTTTTCAACAAGTCGGCAGTCTCCCACCGAGGCAGGGTGACAACAGGGTGCAACATAAATAATAAAGCTTATTATACCACTGATAAAGTTCTTAAACAGGTAAACCATGTTCATTATCATGGGGTGGTTAAGAAAAAAACTCAAAACTTCCAGCACACCTTTCTTCCAACCTATTAACCCTCTGAGGGTCGACAGGCCCTCTCCAAAACTTGTTCTCAGGGTCAGCCAAATTTAAAAAAAAAAAAATATTTTTTCTTATGAAAAGATAGAGAATCTTTTTCCAGTAATAATAACACCAAAAGTATGAAATTTGAAGGAAAACTTACGGAATTATGCTCTCGCAAAGTTAGCGGTCTCGACGATGTTTACGCATCAGCGATTTTGCCCACTTTGAGCCCTATTTTCGGCCAATTCCAATGTACTTGTCGACAAAACTCATAACTATTTCTCTAGAACTCCATTTTTTCTATCGAATGAGTACAAGAAACCACCCATTTACCAATTTCAACTATCCAATAAAGTGGTCAGAATTTAGCAATTTTGCCAATTTCACACAAATTTCAAAAGATGCCAATTTCTGAATAGGGTCCAGAATAAACAAGAAAGACATTCCTGGCACTAAAATAACAAGTTCTCTGTTCGTTAGTCACATCCCCAGGCCCCTCTTATATTTCTTTGGTTTTCCACTTGGAATTTTTATTATTACAAAAAATAGAAGATTTACTGTTATGCAGACTGCTGCATTAGTGTAGAAATGGTATAAATAATATCAGCGTACTTGTGAAAGATTAGACTCACCAGTTGGCATGTATTGGACGCTTGGCATGATTTGTTTACTTTTGAACTTTGATAAAAATCGAACATTTCTGCTACTTTGCGCTCAATTTCAAGGTACTTTTCATTGTAAAACCAATCAAAATCATCTCAATTTTTGTAATATGTCTTCCATTCTATAAAATGAGACCAAGAAAAGTAGAATACAACAATAAATGCCATACGAAAATACAGTGCAAAGTCGCTGTTTTATTCCAAAAACATGGTCCCAAAGTTTTTTTTTTCTCATTATGCACTGTGTGCTGCAGGATTTTTTTTTATACTGCGCACACTGACCACATAGACCCATTCTTTCATATGTAGGCCTACCAGCTTTCTCTCACCAGATTTGAGGGCGCTAGAATTTAGGCGTACTAGTACGTCAAAAACCCTGGGTCGTAAGCCATACTAGCACTACAGCCGAAACCCTCAAAGGGTTAATCCTTCCTTTACCTTCTTCCTTATCCACTGCATTTATACACCCACTTGGTCACTCATTTTGCTACATCCTTTATAAATGACCAAACCATCTTGACAAACCCTCTTCTGCTCCCTGAGTTATACTTTTTATAACCTGACCATCTTCTAATGTCTTCATTCCCTATATGCACAATATTCAAACTACTCAGTACCCATACTACCTGCTGATCTCAAAACATATGTGCCTCACCCCCAAACAAAACTGTTGGGTGCCACTACACAGTTGATCTACAGGTAATTCGTTCCTTATTTTGTGTTTATTCTTTCTTTCCATACATTCCTAAACACACCTGGTACCTCCCCCCTTCCATATTTCATTGACCCATCTATTGACACAAACTCTACAATATCTAATTATTATATTAAAAAATACAGACTAAACCAACACAGGTGCTAAGCACCTTTCCATGTGGTATCCTTGAGTAAATCACATGTATGTGATTTGCAAATGAGAGATTTCAATTTTCCACGTTCAACACGGGTGTGTTGGGAAAAAATTTGCTATCTTTCATTTCAGACTAATACTGTTGCCAGTGGTGTTGGAGTGTCTGGAACAGTACTGGAAAATACACTAGTCCAAACAAGGAACTCTTCTATGAGAGACTGGTAGAACATGAATAGCAGATTAAGCAGCTGAGTCTGTGTATTCAATGCCCCAAACATTAATGTGTCCAGCACAACAGTACAACGTAAGAGTGGAAATCTGCAGATGGCAGTTCGAGCCCCTCGTCCACCCTTCTATTTATTCATCGACAGCTGTTTATTACACCTTAACTGGAGTCCATATATATTTTTTTTTTTTCAACAAATCGGCCATTTCCCACCAAAACAGGGTGGCCCAAAAAGAAAAACGAAAGTTTATCTTTTTAAATCTAGTAATTTATACAGGAGGAGGGGTTACTAGGCCCTTGCTCCCGGCATTTTAGTTGCCTCTTACAACACGCATGGCTTATGGAGGAAGAATTCTGTTCCACTTCCCCATGAAGATACAAGGAAATAAACAAGAACAAGAACTACTTTTTAAAAAAATTTTTCCCCCCCCCCCCCCCCTTTTTTTTTTTTAAAAACCCCCTTTAAAATTTTTTTCCCCCAAAAAAAAAAATTTTCCCCCCCAAACCCAAAACCTCGGTTTTTTTTTTTTTTTTCCCCCCCTTTTCCCAAACACATTTTTTCCCCTTTTTTTTTTTTTTTTTTTAAAAAAAAAAAAAAGGGGGGGGGGGGGGGGGGGGGTTTTAAAAAAAGGGGGTTTAAAAAAAAAAATTTTTTTTTTTTTAAAAAAATTTTGGGGGTTTTTGGGGTTTTTAAAAAAATTTGGGTTTTTTTGGGTTTTTTGGGGGAAAAAAAGGGGGGGGGTTTTTTTTTTTTTTTAAAAATTTTTTTAAGGGGGGTTTTTTTTTGGGGGGGAAAAAAAAAACCAAAAAAATTTTTTTTAAAAAAAAAGGGAAAAAAAAAAAAAAACCCCCCCAACCCCTTTTTTTTTTCCCCAGAAAAAAAAAAAAAAAAAAGGGGGTTCCCCCCGTCCCCCTTTTTTTTTCATCGACAGCTTTTTTTAAAACCCCCCGGGCCCCATATATATTTTTTTTTTTTTCAACAAATGGGCCCCCCCCCAAAAAAAAGGGGGGGGAAAAAAAAAAAAAAGGTTTTTTTTTAAATTTTTAAAAAGGGGGGGGGGGGGTTTTTTTTTTTTTTTAAAAACCCGGGGGAAAAAAGGGCCCCCCCCTTTAAAAAGGAAAAAAAAAAAAAACAAAAAAAAAAAAAAAAAGGGGGGTTTTTTCCCAAAAGTTTTTAAGGAATTTTTTTTAAAAAAAGTAAAAAAAAAACTTCCTGTTTTTAAAAGGGGGGGAAAAAAAAAAGGGGGGGGGGGGGGGGGGGGGGGGGGTTTTTTAAAAACCCCAAGGGGGGTTAAAAACACCCTTTTTTTTCCCCCAAAAAAAAGGGGGGGGGGAAAAATTTTTAAAAAAAAAGGGGGCCCCCGGGAAAAATTTTTAAGGGCCCCCCCCCAAAAATTTTTTCCCCCCCCCTTTTTTTTTTTTAAAAAAAAAAAAAGGGGGGGCCCCCGGGCCCCCTTTTTTTTTTTTTCCCCCCCCTTAAAGGAAAAAAAAAAAAAAAAAAAAAATTTAGAAAAAAAAAAGGGGGGGGGTTGTTTTTAAAAATTGGGGGGAAAAAATTTGAAAAGGGAAAAAGGGAAAAAAAAAAATTTTTTTTTTCCAAAAAAAAAAAAAACCCCCAAAAAACCCCCTTTTTAAAAAACCCCCCCCTTTTTTGGGGGGGGGTTTCCCCCCCTTCCTTTTTCCCCCTTAAAAGGTTTTTTGGGGGGGGGGGCCCCCCCCCCCGGGGAAAAAAAACCCCCCAAAAGGAAAAAAAAAAACCCCCCCCCCCCCTTTTTTTTTTTCCCCCCAAAAAAAAAATTTCCCCTTTTTTTCCCAAAAAAAAAAAAACCCCCAAAAAAAAAAAAAAAAAAACCCCCGGGGGGGTTTAAAAAAAAAAATTTTGGGGGAAAAAAAAAAAAGGGGGGGTTTTAAAAAACCCTAAAATTTTTTGGGAAAAAAAGGCCCCCTAAAACCAAAAAAATTTTTTTTAACCGGGAAAAAAACCCCCCCAAAAAAAAATTTTTTTTTTTTCCCAAAAAAAAAAAATTTTTTTGGGGGGGTTTTTTGGGGCCCCCCGGGGGGGGTTTTTTTTTTTTTAAACCCCCCCTTTTTTTTGGGGGGGGGGGGAAAAAAGGGGAAAAAATTTTTAAAAAAATTTTTTTTTCAAAAAAATTTTTTTCCCCCCCCCGGGGAAAAAAAAAAAAAAAAAAATTTTTTTTAAACACCCCTTTTCCCCCCCCCCAAAAAAAATTTTTAAAAACCCCCCCAAAAAATTTAAAAAACTTAAAACCAAAAAACCCCAAATTAAAAATTTTTTCCCCCCCAAAAAATTTCCAAAAAACCCCTTTTGGGGGGGGGGGGGGGGGGGGGGGGGGGGGGCCCCCAAAAATTCCCCCCCCCAAACCACCCCCCCCCCCCAAAAACCCCCCCCCCCCAAAAAAACCCCTTGAAAAAATTTTTTCCCCCCAAAAACCCCCAAACCCCCCCCCCCCCCCCCCCCCAAAATTTTTTTCCCCCATTTTTTTTTTTTTTTTTTAAAAACCCCTAAAAAAAACCCCCCCCCCCCCCTTTTTTTTTTCCCCCTTTTTTTTTTCCCCCCCTTTTTTTTAATTTTTTTTTTCCCAAAAAAAACCCCCCCCCTTCCCCTTTTGGTTTTTGGCCCCCCAACCCCCCCCTTGGTTTTTAAAAAACCCAACCCCCAAAAAATTTTTTTTAAAAAATTTTTTTTTTTTTTTAAAAAAAAGGGCCCCCCTTTTTTTCCCCCTAAAACCCAAATTAACCCCCCCCCCAAAAAATTTTTAAAATTTCCCCCCAAAACCCCCTTTTTTCCCCCCAAAAACCCCCCCCCCTTTTAACCCCCTTTTTTTTTTTTAAAATTTGCCCCCCCCTTTTCCCTTTTCTTTTTTTACCCCCCCCCCTTTTTTTCCCCCCCCAAAAACCCTTTTTTTTTTTTTTTAAAACCCCCCAAATTTTCCTTTTTAGAAAAAAAGGCCC